TTTTGAAGGACAAGGACACCTCAGGTAATATAAGGGCATTTTGGAGGACAGGGACATCTCAGTCAATAAGGGCATCCTGGAGGACAAGGACATCTCAGGTAATAAGGAGGCAGTTTGAGACAGGGACACCTCAGGGGGCATCTCGGAGGACAGGGACATCTCAGGTACCAAGGCATCTTGGAGGACAAGGACATCCCAAGGTAATAAGGGCATTTTTGAAGGACAAGGACACTTCAGGTAATAAGGGCATTTTGGAGGACAGGGACATCTCAGTCAATAAGGGCATCTTGGAGGACAAGGATATCTCAGGTTATAAGGGCATTTTGGAGGACAGGCACACCTCAGGTAATTAGGGCATTTTGGAGGACAAGGACAGCTCAGGTGATAAGGGCATTTTGGAGGACAAAGGAGATCTCAAGTAGGTAATAAGGGCAGTTTGGAGGACAAGGACATCTCAGGTGATAAGGGCATCTTTGAGGACAACGACATCTCAGGAGCTAAGGGCATCTTGGAGGACAAGGGCATCTCAGGTGATAAGGGCATTTTGGAGGACAAGGACATCTCAGGTGATAAGGGCATCTTTGAGGACACATAGACATCTCAGATAATACGGGCATTTGGAGGACAGGGACACCTCAGATAATAATCATTTTTTCAACGACAGTACATCTCAGGTGATAACATTTTGGAGGACAAGGACATCTCAGGTGATAAGGGCATTTTGGAGGACAAGGACATCTTAGGTAATAAGGGCATTTTGGAGGACAAGGACATCTTGGAGGTAATAGGGCATTTTGGAGGACAAGGACATCATCAGGTGATAAGGGCATTTTTGGAGGACAGGGACATCTCCAGGTAATAAGGGCATTTTGGAGGACAAGGACATCCCAGGTAATAAGGGCATTTTGGAGGACAAGGACATCCCAGGTAATAAGGGCATTTTGGAGGACAGGGACAGCTCAGGTAATAAGGGCATTTTGGAGGACAGGGACACCCCAGGTAATAAGGGCATTTTGGAGGACAGCAACACATCTGGTAAGGGCACTTTGAGGACAAGGACATCCCAGGTGATAAGGGCATCTTTGAGGACAAGGACACCTCTGGTAATTAAGGGTATTTTGGAGGACAAAGACATCCTCAGGTAATTAGGGCATTTGGAGGACAGGGACACAGGTAATTTTGGGGACTTGGAGGACAGGACACCTCAGGTAATAAGGGCATTTTGGAGGACAAGGACATCCCAGGTGATAAGGGGGCATCTTTGAGGACAACGACATCCAGGTGATAAGGGCATTTTGGAGGACAAAGACATCTCAGGTAATAAGGTCATTTTGGAGGACAAAGACATCTCAGGTGATAAGGGCATTTTGGAGGACAAGGACATCTCAGGTGATAGTGGGCATCTTTGAGGACATAGACATCAGGCTCAGGCATTTGGAGGACAGTGATACCCTCAGGTAATAAGGTCATTTTGGAGGACAAGGACACCCCAGGTGATAAGGGCATTTAGGAGGACAAGGACATCTCAGGTAACCCATGTCTTTGGAGGACAAGGACATCCCAGGTGCCAGGCCATTTGGGAGGACAAGGATATCCCCGGGTAATAAGGGCATTTTGGAGGACAAGGACATGTCAGGAAATAAGGGCATTTTGGAGGACAGGGACATCCTCAGGTAATAAGGGCATCCAGGAGGACAAGGACACATCAGGTGATATGGGCATCTTTGAGGACAAGGACATCCCAGGTAATAAGGACATTTTGGAGGACAAGGACACCTCAGGTAGTATGGGCAGATTTGCAGAACAAGGACATATCAGGTAATAAGGGCATTTTGGAGGATAGGGACATCTCAGGTACTAAGGCATCTTGGAGGACAAGGACATCTAAGGTAATAAGGGCATTTTGAAGGACAAGGACATCTCAGGTAATAAGGGCATTTTGGAGGACAGGGACACCTCAGGTAAGAAGGGTATTTTGGAGGACAAGGACATCTGAGGTAATAATGGCATTTTGGAGGACAAGGATATGTCGGTAATATGGGCATCTTGGAGGACGAGGACATCTCATTTAATAAGGGCATTTTGGAGTACACGGATATCTCAGGTAATAAGGGCATTTTGGAGGACAAGGACATCTCAGGAAATAAAGGCATCTTGGAGGACAAGGATATCTCAGGTAATAAGGGCATTTTGCAGAACAAGGGCATCTCAGGTAATAAGGCCATTTTGGGGGACAGGGACACCTCAGGTAATAAGGGCATTTTGGATGACAATAACATCTCAGTCAATAAGGGCATCTTGGAGGACGAGGACATCTCAGGTAATAATAAGGGCAGTTTGGAGACAGGGACACCTCAGGTAATAAGGTCATCTTGGAGGACAGGGACATCTCAGGTACTAAGGCATCTTGGAGGACAAGAACATCTCAGGTAATAAGGGCATTTTGAAGGACAAGGACACCTCAGGTAATAAGGGCATTTTGGAGGACAGGGACATCTCAGTCAATAAGGGCATCTTGGAGGACAAGGACATCTCAGGTAATAATAAGGGCAGTTTGAAGACAGGGACACCTCAGGTAATAAGGGCATCTTGGAGGACAAGGACACCTCAGGTGATAAGGACATTTTGGAGGACAGGGACACCTCAGGTAATAAGGGCATTTTGGAGGACAGGGACAGCTCAGGTAATAAGGGCATTTTGGAGGACAAGGATATCTCAGGTGATAAGGGAATCTTTGAGGAGAAAGACATCTCAGGTAATAAGGGCATTTTGGAGGACAAGGTCAGATCAGGTAATAGGGCATTTTGGAGGACAAGGACATCTCAGTTAATAAGGGCATTTTGTAGGACTAGGATATCTCAGGTTATAAAGGCATCTTGAATAACAAGGACACCTCAGGTAATAAGGGCATTTTGGAGGACAGGGACATCTCAGGTAATAAGGGCGTCTTGGAGGACAAAGATATCGATATCTCAGGTAATAAGGGATTTGTGCAGAACAAGGACATCTCAGGTAATAAGGCCATTTTGGAGGACAGGGACAGCTCAGGGAATAAAGGCATCTTGGAGGACAAGGACACCTCAGGTAATAAGGGCATTTTGGAGGACAGGGACACCTCAGGTAATAAGGGCATTTTGGAGGACAGGGACACCTCAGGTAACAAGGGCATTTTGGAGGACAAGGACACCTCAGGTAATAAGGGCATTTTGAAGGACAAGGATATGTCAGGTAATATGGGCATCTTGGAGGACGAGGACATCTCAGGTAATAATAAGGGCAGTTTGGAGACAGGGACACCTCAGGTAATAAGGTCATCTTGGAGGACAGGGACATCTCAGGTACTACGGCATCTTGGAGGACAAGAACATCTCAGGTAATAAGGGCATTTTGAAGGACAAGGACACCTCAGGTAATAAGGGCATTTTGGAGGACAGGGACATCTCAGTCAATAAGGGGATCTTGGAGGACAAGGACATCTCAGGTAATAACAAGGGCAGTTTGAAGACAGGGACACCTCAGGTAATAAGGGCATCTTGGAGGACAAGGACACCTCAGGTGATAAGGACATTTTAGATGACAAGGACATCTCAGGAACTAAGGGCATCTTTGAGGACAAGGGCATCTCCGGTAATGACGACATTTTGGAGGACAGGGACATCTCAGTCAATAAGGGCATCTTGGAGGACAAGGACATCTCAGGTAATAAGGGCATTTTGGAGGACAGGGACACCTCAGGTAATAAGGGCATTTTGGAGGACAGGGACAGCTCAGGTAATAAGGGCATTTTGGAGGACAAGGATATCTCAGGTGATAAGGGAATCTTTGAGGAGAAAGACATCTCAGGTAATAAGGGCATTTTGGAGGACAAGGTCAGATCAGGTAATAGGGCATTTTGGATGACAAGGACATCTCAGTTAATAAGGGCATTTTGTAGGACTAGGATATCTCAGGTTATAAAGGCATCTTGAATAACAAGGACACCTCAGGTAATAAGGGCATTTTGGAGGACAGGGACATCTCAGGTAATAAGGGCGTCTTGGAGGACAAAGATATCGATATCTCAGGTAATAAGGGATTTGTGCAGAACAAGGACATCTCAGGTAATAAGGCCATTTTGGAGGACAGGGACAGCTCAGGGAATAAAGGCATCTTGGAGGACAAGGACACCTCAGGTAATAAGGGCATTTTGGAGGACAGGGACACCTCAGGTAATAAGGGCATTTTGGAGGACAGGGACACCTCAGGTAACAAGGGCATTTTGGAGGACAAGGACACCTCAGGTAATAAGGGCATTTTGAAGGACAAGGATATGTCAGGTAATATGGGCATCTTGGAGGACAAGGACATCTCATTTAATAAGTGCATTTTGGAGTACACGGATATCTCAGGTAATTAGGGCATTTTGCAGAACAAGGGCATCTCAGGTAATAAGGCCATTTTGGGGGACAGGGACACCTCAGGTAATAAGGGCATTTTGGATGACAATAACATCTCAGGTGATGAGGGCATTTTGGAACACAAGGTTATCTCAGGTAATAAGGGCATTTTGGAGGACAGGGACAATTCAGGTAATAAGGGCATTTTGGAGGACAAGGACATCTCAGGTAATAAGGGCATTTGGAGGACAAGGCAGGTAATAAGGGCATTTTGGAGGACAGGGACAATTCAGGTAATAAGGGCATTTTGGAGGACAAGGACATCTCAGGTAATAAGGGCATTTGGAGGACAAGGACATCTCAGGTAATAAGGGCAGTTTGGAGAGCTTAATACGAATATAATCACCAAAAGGGATTATTGTAGTGCCTGGATGACCTTTCGTGGATAGATACTTTTCATATTCTTCCCACGGAAGTGTCCAGTTAAGGGTAAAGTTCAGTGACGTTTATGGATGGGGAATCTGGAAATTTAACCGCTATCGGATACCCAGCTTTAGATAGAAAACATAATTTGCTCTCCTTTTAAACAAATAATCCAATTATAATATTTTCATCGGTACTTACTGCAGCCCAAAGCTGTCCTTAAAAGTGTGTTGCTGTTGATGGCGGTGTCGATGATTCCCTTAGCAGCTATATCTAGTGCACTGGTGCCACAGCTGTTCTTTTGGGTGCCCAGACAAGTGATATAGGTCTGGTAGTTCCTGCGTACAGATGAGACAAAACGTCACACACTCGGCCTCCAGCGGTATTGCTTCTAATCACTCGTCATAGTTTTGTTATGATTTCAATTTGCAAAAACGAATTGGATTATGAATGTCGATGAGTGTCAAAAAAGGCGTTGTAAACGACTTCGGATATCCCTAACTCCTTAGAGAATCTAACACTTAAAAACCGACAGATGTCCGGGGAAAAGAATATTTTCAGTACCTCAAGCAGATATACCTGTGTAGAATAAGGTGTAATATATATTTAATCCGAGTTGAGTAATTGTTCGAATGATAAATGCTACATCAGTTCCAAAATGATCCATCCATGTACTCCGTTGGTCGCAGTTCTAGGAATGGGATTTGAGTCACTGTTAGGATGGGTTAACCAAATACAGTTCATAACCACAGACTTGTCATTCCTCTGCGGGACTCACTTATATTCCATGCTGAAACAAGACCACGTGGGGCGGTAGGGTAGCCCTCAAGTTAAGGCGTTTGACCGGTATTTCTGGTACACCCTGCCACAATATTGCCTGACTATTGCATATTCAGGGTAAAACCCGAAGTATTTGGTAAAGCATCGCCTTATCATTTCAGATTTGAATCATAACCCCCAAAATATCAGATACACATATATTTAAACAGCTACGGCTATAGTTCAACGAGGTTCTTTGAGGGAATGTCAACTGCTGTTAAAATCATAAAGAAATATGCTTGTTGTTTCAGTCAGAATGAAGCTACATTTCAGATTATGGCGAATCGAGTATTCACAATGTAACTGTTGTCGATCTATCTCTACCATCAAAACACCGGGGCCAGGGCTCCTTATAAAATCTAAGTATGTCACATACGTGCATCCGGCTGTCCCCGTCAGCGTACCCGTCAGGGAGCACGAAGCAATGCTGCAGGCAGCCACTGACTCGAGCAGGGCACCTGAAGCAAAAGCAAGTCTTCATTTGACATTTATTGTAATGAATTTCACTGAGAATCATCACTCCTCGCCCTCACAGTTGGTAATATCTTAATCCTGGCGGGTTTAGTCGGAGAGATCGGAAAATTAGGTTTCCCTGTACATTAAGGTGGATCATCGCTTAAGAGACAAAAAGCCCATTTCACGCTATACGTTTGACTGAAGAAGGACGATTAAAATCACGTCAAGTATAACAAGAACGAGCAGCATATGCGTTAACTTGAAATAATGAGGGGATGATGAAAATCATGTGGCATTAAAATAAAATCTTCAAACGAGAAGCGTGTGCCAACCTTTGACTATAGCGGAACCTGTATAACAGTGTAGTGTTGTAGCAACATCTCAGAACGGGCACTATGTTCTGTATCTTTTATAAAGAAATGAAACATTACGTTCACGTGTATTAAAACATCTAAGCACCATATGGACAACATATGCGTTTCCTCAAATCAAGAAAAACCAATTGCATAATTATAATAACGATCCTCCTCTTTCGGATACAAGCTTCATACAGAGTAAGAAGGGACAAATAAAACATCAATAATGGTTTGAACTTGAGACCAAATGAAATTCTTCTAATCAGAAAAGCGGTATCATAAATTCAATTCATTGTTAACGTGTAACATTAATAGCATGAACAAATTTCACACCTGTATAAGTTGAGATACTTACCAAGCAAAATGATTGCTATCGTAAATTTCATGGTCGTAGATTGCTTGCTTGCTGAGAGATACTAGACTAGAGTGAGCTGTGACGATGGATGTAGTGCTTTGCAAGCACCCTCGCCATGGTTCTTAAACATGTGTACGTGTCGTCATGGCGATGCCGGCAATCCATAAAACATAACTCGTTTCATCCCTGTCAGGATAACACTGAAGTGAATCAAAATAACACCCCCTCCCTCACTCTCCCCCTTCCCTCTCCAACCCAATGCTGACCTGCATTATGACAATGTTTGGTTGTCGCTATGGTGTTAGTATAAAACGATAAATGTTTTAGACAATTACAAAAGACAAAAAAGACAATGCTTGGTAAGGCAATCCACAAATAGAAATAATAAGATGCCCCAAAGAAAAGAAACAATGTTACAGTTATATTGCGGATGGTACTGTGTATTGTTTTTTTAAAGTTCATTTATATCAATAAAATGTTCATAAAAGTTTGGCTATCTGTTTCGGAAATGTGGCTTTCCCGGCCTGTAACCGTTTGGACATGTTTACTAGTTTAGCCAAGACTGACAGACAGATAGTTTATTAACATCTAACCTCAATGTACATATGAGATGCTATAAGATAACATTATATAAAATGAGCCACTCCTGTTGGAGTTATGAGAAGTTGTGTACCGGGTGGTTTTGTTTGTTATCAGAAGAATTGTGTTTGTTTGTTGTTTAACGACTCGCACAGCAATATTCCATCTATATGGCGCGTCCTGTAAATAATAGAGTCCGAACCAGTCAATCCAGTGATTAACAGCATGACCATTGATCTATGCACTTGGGATACGATGACGTGTAGACGAGAGTGACCACCCGATTCCATTAATCGCCGCGCGGGTTGCTGAAGACCAATTCTAACCTGAAAGAAGAGATACCACAACAGTGCGTTATCAAAACCAAGGTTAAAACGTGTTTAACGACGGGACATACAAATATTCAACAATATGTAAGTATAATATACCTGTATTGAAGATATTATCAAGACGCGATTAGGGACATTGATCATTTTCCACCCAAATGCGGGAGGGATGTGTGGAAAATAAAATTTGTTCCAGAATATACTAAATACAGTACAACCAGAAATTATTGAGAATTTAAAGATTGTAATTTTTATATTTTTTTCTCTCATTACTCACGTATTAAATGTGAATATTAGCAGAACATAACTCCAGATTCATAGACAGGTGAACAGTTAGTAGTTTGTCAAGTCACCATGGGCAGCAATGCAGGCTTCAATGCGGCGGGGCATACTACTGATCAAAGACGTTAGAAAGTCGTGGTCCATGCTGTCCCAATATCGGACCACCTCTTCTTTCATTTCAGAAATATTTGTCAGATTTTTCTTATTGACACTTTCCTTTATAAGTCCCCAAACATTTTCTATTGGAGTTAGGTCAGCGCTATAGCTTGGCCAATCTAATAATGTCATATTTTGGGTCCGAAACCAGGCCTGTGAATGCTTTGAACGATGTTTTGGGTCGTTGTCCTGCTGGAAAATCGAAACATTTCCATAGAACACGTGAGCAGATGGAAGTAAATGTCCCTCGAGAATATCTGTGTACCGCTCACTGTTCATATTCTCTTCAAAATACACAGAGGGGCGTTGTCCCTAACACAGATATTCCACCCCACACGTTAAATTTCGGACTGTACTTTGGGCGCTGATACAAAGGTTTGGGTCCAGAATTTCAGTGTATTAGGAAACAGACACACAGAACTTTCATCTGAGAAAATCACATTGTCCCAGTTAAAATTTGTATGCTGTAAGCACCAGTTCAACCTTCGCTCCTTTTGTTCAGGTTTCATGATCGGTGAAGGAATTCCTCGCTTTTCTGCCAACCCATTGAATGCAGCTCAGTTCTAATTGTCTTCTTACAGACAGCCACAGTTCCTCTATCAATCATATCCAGCCTTAAGTTTTCTAAACTCCTTCGTTTGTTTTTAAAAACAAGAATACCTCAAGCCATATCAATTTGCAATATTTTTCAAAACACGATGAACAGTGGACAAAGGGATTCCTGTTCTACTTGAAATCACTTTAGCTGATCTGATGTCCTTGTTATAATACTCTAAAATCAACTTCCTCTTCTCTAAATCATCCATACTGAGGATCACTGAAAATGTCGTCTGTTAGCAAGTAAACAAAGGGGGATAACTCTTCACAAACTAATGAAAAAGGATTAACGGAGTTGTCTCTCTTGAATGAAACCCAGCACTTGATAGCTGGTCAAGGTTGTTTATACTAGAAATCCAATTAAACATATTCCTAAAATTCTCAATAATTTCTGGTCATACTATACATAACTTGAAAGAAAATGCTGCAGCTCCTAAAGTACTGTGCAAAACATGTTCGGTTCCAAACAGAGCAAAAGAGGATATGTTCCATATAACGTCAGTTTAATATAGCAGTGTATTAAGTATACGTATTTATTTATAACTGTATATTATGAAAGTATCAAATGACCTTCAAGTTGGTAGCAATTGTTCAAGTCGTTTCGACCTACATGATAAAATGTGCATTAATCTTTCTTGTATTTGCTCGAATGTAAGTATGAGTCGGACTATATAGGGCATATTTGCTGTTGGTAACTATTTTTGGACATTATGTTTCACTCCCCGTCAGTTTCAGATACTCCGAAACACTATCACACAGAGTCAGAAATCGATCATACACGTGAAAAAGCTTGATTCATTGATGTTGTATGGCTCTGGGCGTTTTGCAATCTCTTCAAATCTTTCGCAATTCCTTCTTGCACCATACAATGTAACATTTTACTTATCCGACCTCTAAAGTAAATAGGACAATCGTTGCCAAAGCAAGTGACAACAAACATATTGAGTAGTTCCTGGAAAAACCCCAACACTGTCGGGGCTCACTTGACATACTTAGAACAAAGTTCGTGTCGGTGTTGTCTTTGATAATTCTGAAACTTAAAGCAATGTAATATGCATATATGTTGACACGTGGTTTAAACATATTTTATTCAGAAGAAATGAAAAAGATTGGCAAACAAGCTTTATGGCTTATATTAATGCCGCTCCATAATACATGTATAGATTCACATAATGTTGTAGAATAACAATAATAACAAGCTGTGAAAATAAGAACAAGTTATCTCTGAATGATAACGATCTTGGTTATTACTAAATTACTTTAGTTTATACAAATAAAAAGACAGTAGAAGCTACAAAGCTTTTATGAATCAAATTGTTTTGTTTGAACAATGAGTCGATGAACTGACTATAGAATATCCATATGCGTCTGATATGATACTGACTTATTACCGTTTAGCACATCCTGCAGGGAGACGCCTTTCACATAGAAATATGATTCATATCGAATGCTATTATATTCAGGATACATGAAGAAATAGTGGAATACATCCTCAAAATGACTGACTGACTGACTGAGTTTGGTTTTACGCCGCTTTTAGCAATATTCCAGCAATATCACGGCGGGGACACCAGAAGTGGGCTTCACACATTGTACCCATGTGGGGATTCGAACCCGGGCCTTCGGCGTGACGAGCCAACGCGTTAACCACTAGACTACCCCACCGCCCCCTCATAATGACGTGAGCAGGAACAAGATGCATTGTCAGAAATGAAACGATTATATTTATCACTGTTTAAGTCAATGCATCCTAGTGACAGGCAGGCATGAATCAAAACAAATGAATTGTTTTCTACATTTTTACGACCGCATATGTCGGCGCGCCCTTTAGTAATGAAACAAATATAGTGTTGCATGTGAATTATCATTGTCACCTCCATCGTTCAGCTTTAGTGGCCCAGTGGTTTGACATGTACCCGGGCAGCGGAAAATTCCGACACATGTCTTTACACGTCTTCAGTCAAGCACAAAACTCTGGATTGCAACATTCCACCTGACCTGATATTTGAGGCTCCACATCGATGCCCATACGGCATTTAGTACAATTCTTATAAATGAAATATATGGAAGAAACCCTTATATTTTATCAATAAATGAACTCTAAACATTTAAGTTATCAGAAATAACTTTTAAAGACAACAACTTTATATATGAAGTGGGACTTAGTTCGAAACATGCCTCATGAAACATTCAAAGCCTGCCCTACTATTATCACGATCTTATTGAGATGCTAGTTACTGGGGTGTTCGGGTTGGTATCCATCGCATGCCTGGCTTGTGGGTCGTCAGGTACCTTCTTCTCATCACACTTTCTTCTTACGGCCTCACCGAGGTCAACGTGAGTGTGTGGTTCATTGTTCATTTATACACCTGATCGACTTATCGATTATTGGAAACTGGAAATCACTCAGGTGTCAACTAAATATGTGATATAGAAGATTCATGTTACGTTCGTGGAAGAAATATGTATAATATATCAACAACACATTATTGTAATAAAATGAAACATGAAATGACGTCAATATATTGAGTGAGTGAGTGAGTGAGTGAGTGAGTGAGTGAGTGAGTTGGGTTTTACGCCGCTTTTCCAGCAATATCACGGCAGGGGACACCATAAATGGGCTTCACACATTGTGCCCATCCCCAATATATTGAACTAAGAACCCTTCAATTGTACAGATGATTTAGACCCACGCGTAAGAACCGTTTAACATAAGGAGTGTACGGTTCGGAATTGGTATAGGGCTATCAGAATCGATAAGTTCTCGCAGGAACATATATTTCTGTCTCTGAAAGAAGACAAAGTTGTTTTCGTTTCTTTTGTTATCTCTTAAAACTAATTTTTCATCAAACAAACAAATATATACACCTGACATATCTACATGCTGTATCTATACATCTGATCTAAAGACGTTTAAAAGACATTACGTGTCCATTTAACGGGGTCAAAGATATTTCTAAGGCCTGTTCAACATGTTGACCTCTATACAAAATGAGGTCGTTGTTGTGTGACGAACTATCGATCACATGTGTTTGCTTATACGTCAATGCGCTGCATTAGTCCGTAGTATGTGTGCGTTCTGACCAAATCTATATCAGTTGTAAGTCATTTAGTACATGGTGGCACATGATTGTTAATATGGCATTGTTTAATCTAATTGGTTATTGATTATTAGCCTGACCTGA